GCTTTTTATCTCTCGAATGCGTTCACCGCATAAGGTCTCTTCTTCGCGTGCACAATTTAAAAGTAAAAGCAGGGCATTAAAATATGACTGAGTATAAAAAAAGTAATGAGTGTGGGAGAAGTGTCAGAAACACACACACGAGGAACGCAAACAGCAAAATGTTGATTTGTTATACAGACAGTACGCTTGCATGCATCACCGCGTTTCACTCTTCAGTGGATACAGTTGGAAAGAAAGAGTTATCGCCTCGCCAACTGCAAAATGCACCAGGGGAAACGCAACAGTATGGACTCAGGTGATGTCTGTGAGTGTTTGTACTTTCTTCTAAAATCCATACATATTCAAACACTCTCAGAGGTGCCTTGGATTCACCTTTCCAAGAGCGACTGCTTGTGGATTCGAAAGTTGTTTGCAAAAATCAGTTTGCAGCAATCGCACAATTCACTTGCAGCTTTTTTATGCATGTGTGCGTCTGCACTTGTTGCGCATTGTGCTGTAATGATACAAACTGATGGGGGCGACTTGTATTTAAAAATTATTTTAAAGTGAAAATTAAAAAAAAAAATTAAGGTAGTGTAAAAAAAAACATAATAACGCATATTGGGAGTATGATTTACTTATACATATGACTGCTACTGCGAATAAATATAATTATGAATATGAATATCAATATGAATATGAATATAAATATGGTTATAAATTTGAGCATGAATATGAATATGAATATGAATATGAATTTACAACCAATCGATTTCGCATTACTTTCAGATAGAGTCAAAAGTAAGTGTTATACAGATTTAAATAGCAAAAGAGAGACAATTTTTTCGATAAATGGAGACAGAGAAATTAAAATATGCCTTTGAAAGTGTTATTGTTGAAGACGGGCGGCTTAGGAAAACCCATAAAATAATATGGTTGTTATATATCTGCCTACAGAAATAGTGATTAAAAATAAAAATAAAACAGAAAATAACAGATCTCTTTTGAAGAGGAGCAGTTCAAAATGTATAAACGTTGTCTCGTAAACAATTATTGTACTTAAATTAAAAATTTAATCCTTAGAATTCTTATTTCAAGAGGAAACAATTGCCCTTTTGTGGGTATTAATTCACCTACATGCTCACAACTCCGTCAAATCAACATTGTTTTGAATGGGCGTTGGCGTTCTTACAATTTCACATACTCACAATTTCCACTAACGCAAGTAAACAGTCAATCAATCAGTCACAGGCATACTGTATTGTATACAACAACAAGTTTGTGTTTCCGCGCATAGCAAATACAAATACGGCAAATAAAAACTAGGCTACAAAATTAAATTTCCGTTATACAATTTTGCAGTAACAATTCGCGTTTGGCTCTAATCCCTTTTCCGTCACATTTGGCAGGTCCAATGCCACTTGAGTGGAGCTTGTCAACGGCACTTGAGAACAAACAACAGCAGTGCTTACGCTCTTCGCTGTGCTGTCATATATACAAACACAAAAATATATACATATACATAGCTACGGTATTTATGTGACTGTATGCGTGCGCAGCGCTCACGCAATACGCTATAGCTGCTAGCCGCTGCTGTCTGTAAAGGATTTTAGTTTTTAATTAATTTTGAAGTGGCAGCGCGTGGTTGCTTCGTCCTTTCCAACTACTACTATGTGTATGCATGTATGTTTTTAGTTGTGCGGGTGCCTGAGTTTGAACTTGTGTTGCTGAGGAGCGGCATTTAAGCGCTGGTCCTACGCGTCATTACTGTTAATCCACGTTTGTACTGTCTTTAAATTTTTTGTTGCTTATTGTTGTTGATTTTGCTGACGTACTCGGTTCTAAGTTTAGTTGCTAACTATGTTTTGTGTGGTTCTAACGACAATTCCATTTATTTTTGCGCTGCACGTCCCTAAATAAGGATTTAATACGATTAACTCGGAAATTTATTAATTTTTTCATGTTGTGATAGTCATGTTGACGTAAGGTTTCTATTATCCCAATTAAGGTCAGCATAGATAGGGAAAGTTGTGGAAATTTGGTGCATATAAACTTCCCTGCCATATTATTCTTAAGAAATATGATATTAAAAATATGTTAAGAAGGTGTAAGATAAATAGTTTTTGATATATTACCAGGGAATTTCTCCTGATACTCGAGAAATGGTCACGTCCATAAAACATGTAACTGCATGATGAGCTCTGTTTTTGCTCTTCCGAATGCGGTAATTAAAATATTTGACCGAAGGTTCGGACAATTTTAACAAAGTCTCTGAGCTAAATTTTTTCAAAAACAAAGAAAAAGAGAAGCACAATTTCTATCTCTCTTATTATTTAAAGTGCAATGATCCACTTGAAAATCCTCCTTAGATACCTTTATATTTCAAAAGAATCAGTTCAAATTTTAAAGAAGCCTATAGATATTGAGAATAATGTATATTTTATGAAACCTACTTGAAAAACAACAGCTTGCTGGGAAGAAAGGTAAATGATGCTGTGAGCTTGAACAAAGTATCTAACCAATCTTAATTGAGTTGGCTAGGAAAGAACACCACTTTATTTATAATTGCTCATGACGGGGTATAATTTTTTTAAAATTGGTACATACTTTGTGTAGAGCATATTATGTATATTATAAAACATATAGTTTATGGAGAGGCAAGTCAGTAAAATAGAATATATTTTCTGCTAAAACAAGATTAGATTCGCCGAACCTTGAAAAAGCTGGCTGGTATAACCAAATAGAGTTAGAATAAAGATCGATTTCACCACCCATCTTTCTTACACTGAACGTAACATATAGAGTATTTAATTAGTTTGTTATATCACTTTGCATACATTTCTTTATAATAGAGTGAAAGGTGAATCGTAGACGGCTTATTTTATAATGTTACATTTTTGTAAATAAATTTAGAAGTTTTTATTTGTTTTACTTTTTTTCTTAAAGCAATGCGGCTTACGTTAAGTTTTCCCCATTCACAGAAAATTATTAAATTAAAAAATGGATTATTCCTTTTTTCATTCGTATGTACAATACTACTCGTCAACAAAATTCCCCTTATATTCCACACACTCGACTGGCCGATTTTTCAATCGAGCTGTGTCATGTGGACTTCCTCTGCTTACATAAATACTTATCTAAGCGCTTATAAGTAAATTTATCTATTCAAGAAGCCACTTGTGACCACATTCATTAATATATTTGACACTTTGGTGATAAGCTATTTAACGCCAATAGCACCCGAGATATTCACACGGCCATACGCACTTGCTAAGCAGCCTGCCTGCTAGACAAGTTTGAACAAAGTAGCCAACACTGAGCAATTAAATGATAAACGAGCGCATAAATTCATAACAAAAGCTTCAACTTATGCTGAGGCAAAGATAGCGGTGACAACGAGCGTATGCTATCGCATTGTCACTTTCAATAAGACCATATGCTGGCTAACGGTTAAAGACATGCAAATCTCATCAATAATTGCGTTATTAATTTTTACAAAGCTGATAAGAATGCGCTGGAATAAACAATCCATGACGAAATGAATTTGAGAGGCAGCTAACTTGCGGGCTTATGTAAGGAAACATATACAACTGAAATGTATTGTACAATATGGAGCGGTAATAGCAGCCGCGGAAAATGGTTATAATAAATCGTTTTGATCATTTAATTAAATATTTGCAGTTTATTTATTTATCAAAAAAGATATATATTAATGTTGATAATAATGAAAATTAAAAGAAAGGAAGGAAGGGCTAAGTCCGGCTTCCGAACTTTTAATACTCTTGCAAAATCAAATGATATACTCGTTTGAGATTACTTTGTGGATTGACCGATATTTTCGGTAGAAGGTCAACTACAGGTACTGTGGTCCACATATTCAGTACCTAAGGTGTTAAACAGTTTTGGTTCGATTTAGACAATTTTTGGTCACAAGGTGGCATACTTTAAACGTATTTTTTACGCAAAGTTTTACCCCGATACAATTATTGTTGCTTGATTTGCATACTGGAAAGTGAAAAAATCAGAGGAAATTTAAAATGGTGTTACATCGGAAATAGGCGTGGTTGTAATCCGATTTCACCCTTTTTGCAACTATAATATAGAAATATGAGAAGAATGTTATGTACCGAATTGGTTGATATCGGTTAAGCAGATATCAAGATATGGATGTTCACCTAAAAGGAGGCGGTGCCACGCCCACAGTACCGTTATATGGGGAGTGGGCGGGTTGTAACCCAATTTACAAGAAACATGTGTATCAAATTTCATAAAGATATCTATATTTTTATTCAAGTTACAGCTTGCTCAGACGGAAGGACAGACGAAGAGAAGGACAGAGAGTTAGCCGGATTTCAACTGGTCTCTTCATCCTGATCATTTATATATATATAACCCTATATCTAACTCGATTAGTTTTAAGTGATACAAACAACCGTTAGGTGAACAAAACTATTATACTCTGTAGCAACAAGTTGCGAGAGTATAAAAAAATGCCTAGTAATGGTATTATAATATAATTACTAACTATAGCAGCGGGCATTGATACAATAGTATCAATATGTTTCCCTATTTCGGAGCAAAAAAGAAATTTATTAGTAATTATAAAATAACGACATCTTAAAAGTAAGAGTTGTGTGATTATAAGACAATTACTTCAATTAACTACTCCTTTGAGAATGCCATGAATAGAGCTAGGACACTATAGAGTGCGTGAAAATCTCTGGCAAGGGTTTGATTTCGCGCTCTAAAACTAAAAAAGAAATCTGAAAAACTCTTTATAAAGGGTGATTTGGTAACTTCTGAGTAGGCAAATTTTGACTCTCCATCATCATAATATGAAATATAATTCATTATTTTCTCACGTAGCTTTATTTTACGAAAAGTCTACTCATCTACATTTTCGTTCAGCATTTCTAACAGCTTGTGGTATAGCTAAGGTTGGTAGTTTGGCAACTTTTTGGATGAAATTTCAAAACTTTGATTGAAAAAATTATTTATTTCTCAATTTTATTTATTTTCAGTGGTTATCAAGTGGGCTATCGATGGATGTAGGTATTATTAAGAAAAAATAAAAAAAAATTATATGAATATTAAAAAACATACATATTTGAAGAACAACCATTACATATTCACAATTATTCAAATTACGCAAAATCACAGAGCTTGTGTGACTCCAACCATATCGTTTTCCCACATACAATATCAATTCTCTATTTAACTCACTTATTCATATAAACTTAATAATCTTAAGCTTTATTGCCGTGTCAACATTACTAAGCATTTAAACAAAATCTGTATGATTAATATGCGCCGCACATAAACATAACATATGGTTTTAGCCGCATAACTCAAACAATAACCGATAAAACATATTTGCAATTAAAGCTTAGTAATTAATTAGGCATGCAGACTGTTTATCTCACATTTAAGCCTAAATTTTGTACGCATAATAACAAATAAAATTTAGTTACGCATTCACTGTGATGCACATGGAAATTTTTATACTCCAGTGACGAAGAAGCAAACAATTTATGTGTTTTATGAGGGTAATAGATATATAAAAAAGAGATTTGTTTATGATTCATAACTTAATCGTTAGAGAGCAATTCTCAAACTCATGTACATTTCTTAACCTAGTTAGAATATAGGAATCTAACTCAAAACTTGTTTCTATACTACTTACTATACCCAATGCAGAAATTACACACGTGCCTTTTTTAATATAATCATGTTCAACGTAAGCGCCTAAAACTCCTTCAATTAATTCGATAAACTAGTATATTATATATCGAATGATTGGTTATCCTTTGCCATCACAAGCGCGATAAATGAGTACGACCGTCGAATTTTTGGTCAAATCAAGAATGGTTTCATAAAAGAGAGCTTGAATGCCCCGCTTTAATAGCTCATAAGAAAACAGAATATACTGAAACGGATCCCTACATAGATATTCTAATCGATTTTTATCTTATACCAATCCACCCAATTAGGCTAACGTAAACCAAATTATTAAACCTTTTAACCACAATAACAACAATTTACATTAAACACCCACAGCAGTTGATGTGAACAATAACAATACAGCCTATCCAAACCGTGAACTACGCAACCACGACTCAATAATTTAATACAAAGTCAAGCAAAAGTTAATTGAAGTCTTAAGATAACAATAGCTGCATTATTTGCCATTGTTTGCTTAAGTATTGTAAATGCAAAGTACCTTAAAGTTATGCGAAAAAGCACAAAATTAGCGGCTGCTAAATGAAGGATAAGGTAGAGTTCAGACTTCAAATGAGGTTTGAAGAAGGAGGAGTATTATATGGGAACGCAGAGTGTACAGGTTAGCTTCGCAAAGTTAAATGTTGATACATACAAAAACGTATGTGCTTAACTTAGTTGCCTGCTTTCATACATATTTTTGTGGATACAAAAAGCAGGCAGTTAAAACAGAGTCCCAATTGTATAAGAGCCAGTTGAAAGACAGTGTATAACACAGAAAGATATCGAACATTACTTATAATGGGTAAAATAAGTCACACTAGCCTTCAGTTATTCACAAAATATATTACCTGTTCGAAATATTCTTAATTAGATCATAAAAGACCTGTGAATTGGCGCAGTACTTCGAAGTGACCATTAAAAGTGATCCACTATAATAGCTGAAATAATTAACGGAAATTTTATTCAAACCAAAGAACTATTAATACACATCATAATAAACATCAATCGAACAAAAATCTAAACAAAAAATACAAGAATAAAGAAATCTGAAAAAAGTTCAGATTGCACGAGATCTAGTTTGGACATGGATTATGAGTTTTTATGGCTGATAAATGTTGCATTTCTCGAGCTTCAAAAGCTAAACTAATCGGTATTGTGACAAGAATTTCTCATATTAAAAGCTATTTCTGCGTCTATAACCGAACCATTGGTGGTCTATGTGACAAAGAAGATGTAACCCTCAGTGAGATTCAAATCATCTGAAGTAACTGAAAACGAAAAATAAATAGTAATTAAAAATCAATTGCAAAGACGAAATCAATTCAACCTCCGCTGAAAAAGTACTTTTTTTTTGTGTTTCTTGGTATTTGAAACTATTGTATTTGTTGAGTAGTTCCGAGTGTACCGAATATGCCTTTATACAACCCGTTACATCATACTGAAGGACTAATTTAAAAAGAAACGGTTCACAGCAGTTTCTCTTTATACTAATATTCAGTCTTAAAATACATACCTGTGATATGTACCAACAAAAACAAAAAACACCACCGTAGAACACACAAAATTATGTTTCCAAACTTTAAAACGCCAACACAAAGTAAACATCACCACAAATTAATAATGAATTATGTCAACTTTATGTGGCAACATTTAAATATAAAAGCTAAAGTGGATGTTATCACACGCAAAAGGTACTTCTATTAGTACCCACGGCCTACTCAGTTCTTTTTGCTTTTCTCTTCTCTTCCACTCCATTGAGCAGCTCTCCTACACAGCTATAAGCCTCAAATGGTTATCGCTTGCCATTGTTGTTGCTTGAGATTTATTAGATGTGGCAAGAAAAATGTTTCACTGAAACATAGAAGAAAAATTTGAAGCTGAAGCAAAAATAAAATACTTGAAGTATTTCAAAACTATTATTTATGCTTCAGAAAGCTTCATGCAGTTTCTTTGGACTTAAGAAACCTCGTACTATTTTCAAACAAAATAAAAACGTACTTAAGATCGATTAATTTTATTTAGAATATCTTGTTGCGAGGCACCTTAAACTATTTCAAATTTGAATATTCCACAACAAATGTTGGAATTAAAAACTTTATTTTAAAATAATTAAACAATTAAACCAATTCACCATATAATTATAGCCCTTTTTCACAGCCAAATTAATTTAGTTCATTAAAATTATAATTAAGAAACTAGTTTTTGCTTTTACACATCCGGCTCTTCGATTAACGAATGGCTTGAATAACGATCAGCTGTTCTAAATTTTTTTACTGTTCATAAGTCGTTGGTTAAATGGAAAACAATTGAATTCATTTTTTCGTGAGTATATGAATAATATTCAACTGTTTCAGTCTGTGCAATCTTGTTACGATTATGCAGCGGCTTTATTTAAAAAAGGAAAAGGAGCTTCTTAATATTAGAATATTTGCGATAACAGCAGCTAGACTCACTTCCGCATAAGAATTGATGTAGTAAATTAAGATTTTTATTTTGTATAGTAAATTTATTTAAATTAGCGCTTTAATCGAGCAAAGGCTGATTAATTCATCAATTAATTCCTGTGAAAAGAGTATGTTAGACAATTTACTAATTGATCAATTAGTATTTACTGTAACAAACCCTTACCATGAGTTAATAACTTATATTTTTCCCTGTCTTTGGCACTTGTTTGCTAAGAGCACTTAACTAATAGTAGAATCACTGGTTCACGTCTCTGGATATATACAACTTCAAATATGTGCAACTATACTTATTATATTTAACAAGCATAAATTCAGTAATTTTTACAAATATTAATTAAGACACTATTAGTTAACTAATACCCAAAAACATTGAAAATAGTTACCCGTACACCTACATATATATATGATATGATTGAGATAATATATAATATTTATTAAAATAAAAAGTTAAGTTTGTTTTACTCAAACTTTTGCTCATCGCCTAAAGTAAGCACGTAGTCTGATGCGTAGGTGAGTAAAAGAATCAAAACAACAACACGAGTTGGTTTAAAAATTTAACGAACGAACTTAAATCAAAAATCCATGAGACAAGTCGCTGAATACTACTAGAAATATGCCTTTTATTGCCAAATCAATGAAACATATTTTAACCCGAATAACTTCAATAATTTAAATTAAGAAAAAATTTTTGCTTCAGTTGCACCGAAACAAAAATACCCTTCACCAATAAAAAATATACCTTACAAGAACTTAAATCATTGCCTTAAACAATAACTCATGCCATGTTTCTTGAAGATTTCGTCAAATAAAAACGCTTTCCATGCAAACACTATATTCCGATCGTTCAGTTTGTATGGCAGCTATATGCTATAGCCATTCGATCTTTTTTTACGCAGATTGCACTATTGTCTTAGGCAATAACTTATGCCGAATTTCGTGAAGATAAATTTGACAAGTAAAAATGCTTTCCATACAGGCACTTTACTTCAATCATTCAGTTTGTATGGGATCTACATGCTATAGATGTCTCAAAAACTAAAGAACTGGTTCGCATGTCAAAATACGGACAGCTAATTGAGCATGTTATTATTATATACCCTATAGATTTTATAGGGTCTCCTGCGTTTCCTTCGAGAGGTTATAAACTTCGTGAAAAACTTAATATATTGTACCTTTTTCAAGGTATGAAAACTCTAGATGTGGACAAGCCTTGGTAGCGGGTGTGCAATAGGAAATGACTTCTAATAACAGTGTGGATTTTACAATATACTATACATTAAAAATGTCAGGTAGCCGTGAATAATACTGAAGTCCTTAGTGAACAGTAATGTCCCCCCCCTCGTATTTCAAGCAATATAAAGTACTTTCTGGTTTAGAACTGGCATCGTTGTTCATCTTCTTATTGTTTTTAATTATGTAAGATTCTAATAATATAATAGAATTTTTAAGACTGTTAAATTTTCGAATTTTAATTCAGTCATTTACTATTACATATCGTGAGCAAAAAATTTTGCTTACATTTTGGCGCCGTTTTTGCTACGGTGTCCTTCATTTTGTTATAAGGCGAAAGCTACTATCTACTTAAGAAACAAAAATTGTAAAAGCCATAAACAAACTACCACTTTTCAGTACAATAAATCATCTTGATTGAACCATTTCCAAATCAAACTAAAATTTATTTTAAAATATAATTTTTTAACCGAAATTTTTTAACTCAAGAGCGCATATTTTACTTTCAAGAGCACAAAATGAGAAAAGAAGTATTTGTGAAAAGCAGTGCTCAGTGAGGAATTTCTAAAATAATCCGCTTTACTGTAGCTGCTTCGGTGCCGCTTCACACAGTACTTTTTAGCGTTTGGCGA